TAGATAAATTAAACGGTAAAAGTAAAGTACCAACTACTCTCTCCTCCCTCTCTCTCTCTCTCTCTCTCTCCCTCTCTAACTGTAATTATTCTAAGTTATTGCTAAAGCAGTATAGCTGGCTATTTTGCTGAAAAGTTTAAAGGTTGAAATTAAAATGAGTAAACAAACAAAAGTTTGCAATCATTTTCTCACATTCAGGTTGACCAAATATAAAAATGCAACAATTTTGCAATCATTTTTGACTAAAGATTAAAAATGAACTGAGAAATCCCAGAAGAGAGATATTAGATTGAGAAATCCCAGAAGAGAGATATTAGATTGAGAAATCCCAGAAGAGAAAATATTGAATTTTAAAGAATGAAAATTTTTCAAATCAGTTGTTTTATTTTTTCAATTTTGCTAAAATTTTATTTTTTTTTCGATAGGATTCATATAGTATCATTATATGAATTTATTTTTTTTTCCTTGGCTCTTTTTTCTAGGCTCTTTTTTTTAGGTTCTTTTTTTTGGATACTATAGACTTTAAAATAGTTTTGGATGAAAGCGGAATGAATCAAACAAAAAAAAAAAAGAAAGAAAAATGGAATGGAATAATTTTTTTATCGCTTGGGAGCACTTTTTCATCCGAATAAATTAGCATAATAAAATCTGTACACTTACAAATATCATTCATTCATTTTCAGCGGTCAAATATTGAGAAGTTTTTTTCTTTTTTTGCCAAATAAAAGGATGAAAGTATTTGTATTGAATAGAAAGGAAGAAGGATATCAGTTAGAATTAAATGAAGCAGGTCAGATAAAAATATTTTATCATTCATTTGTTTATTTATCCAAATTTCCTTTAGCAAACGAATTTTTCAAATTTTATGAAATTCAAATTTCTCTTAATTAACAAATTTAAATCTATTAATTATTGCTCGAAATACAAGCTCATCAATTATCAGATTTAAATTTTTTATTTTTTGAAATTCAAATTTCTCAATTGACAAATTTGAATTTGTTAATTATTAATTGAAATCCAAGTTTGCAATTACCAAATTTAAATTTGCCAATTGTATTTTTTGAAATTCAAGTTTATTATCTAATTCAAACTTATCAATCTTTTTTTCTTATCATTGATAAATGGAATACCAAAAAATTGTTGACAATTTCTAAAAAAAAAGTGTATTGTATTCGGGGATAACTTTTATTTATAATATAAATTTCTCTTTTAAGTTTTTTAGTTAAAAAAGAATTTGAAAGTTTCAATACATTGTCCACTTCTTTTTCATGAAGAAATACTGTCCAGATGTGTCTTTTTTTTTTGGGGACAGGTCATTTCATCTACAACAATATGATGTATACAGTCCCTAACAAAAAGTCTTTCGTGTTTAAATGATCAGAGGTCACTCACTCTTCTATTAATGGTAAACATTCATTTAGATTGGATTAAAAGAACAGATAGATAGACGACAGACACACACACACACGCGCACACACACATACACAGACATAGACAATGTACTGATTACTAATGTCAAAGGTAAATAGTTCCACTACAAGCAGGAAAGTTTTAACTTAACTTGAAAGATTTTAATAACAAATGAAATCTGATTTTGAATTCCCGAAATTAAAAAAGTTCATTACAAATTAAGCAAGTCTTTTGGCCAAAATTACCGAACGACAAAACTAAGATAGCAGCCAGAAATAACTATATGATAGAGCCAAGATACTTGCCAAAAATTATCACATGACAGGGCCAAGATAGTCGCCAAAAATAGTCACATAACAGAACCATGATAATTGTCGTGTTGTATCAATCACTATCACTTATAATCATTGATTAATTATCATTTTATAAAGCAAAGTTTAAAATTCGACATTTATCTCTCTACAAAATGTTATGTATCGTTTTTATACTTTGACTAAATATTTATGCCTTTCCCAAATGTTTAAAAGTTCTATCCAATTTTATCCGAATAATTCAAAATCCCATAAATGGTTTCATCATTTCAAAATTAAATTAAATTAAATTCCATAAATGGTTTCATTTCAAAATTAAATTAAATTAAATTCCATAAATGGTTTCATCATTTCAAAAATGAAATGAAATTAAATTCCATAAATGGTTTCATCATTTCAAAAATGAAATGAAATTAAAAATTGATGATTTTAAATGGCGCATTTCTTTTCTCATCATAATTTTCATTAACTTCCAAATAAA